TTTAAAGAATGATACATAATAACATGGGAAAGTGAAAGAAGCAGGATATAAAATGACATGTGCCATATGAATACACTATTACAAAAGCAAAATTCAAACCTCTCTATATAAGGAAAGACTTAAAGGGTAAGTATTCAAAGTCTTAGTGATTTTTTTGCAGTGATTGTCTTCTATTTACTCTTCTGTATTTTCTAGATTTTTTTAAAATTGAGCATATATTTCCTTTAAAATTGATGTGGGTGAGAACTATTATTTTTTAAACTAGAACTTAATGTTCATATAGTACATCTTTTTTGAAGAATTCAATTGTGCCTTCATGTGTGCATTGTATTCCATGATGAGTAATTTGACCTCAGTAACTTCACCGAATTGATCACTCCTTTATTCCCCAGTGACTTCCTTCACTTCAGAATGTCTCTTTCCTGATGTTCTTCCTATATCACTAGTTTTTTCTTTATAGTCAGATCTGCTAGAGCTTCCTTACTCAATCTCTAAGCATTGGAGTGTCACCTAGCTCAGTCCTTGACATGTTTCTCCTCTCCACCTATATTTTCTCCCTAAGTAATTTCATTCAGTCCCCTGGATTTAATTTAAATGACATTTATATATGTGTTGGAGTTCCTAAGTGGTGCAAAGAAATAACACACTCAGCTGCAAACTGAGAAGTTGGAGTCCACTTGGAGGCATCTCAGAAGACAGGCCCGGTGATCTACTTCTGAAAAATCAACCACTGAAAACCCTATGGAGCACAGTTTTACCCTGACACACATGGGGTTGCCGTGAGTCCAAACTGACTTCACAGCAACTGGTTATATATGTGCTGTTTACCAGATTTACATTTCTCCTTTGATCTGCACACTAAAGTATCCAACAGTCCACTTGATATCTTTACTTCATTGCCTTAATTGGCATCATAAACCTAACATATCCCAAACAATTCTTTATTTTATCCTATATCCTAAGCCTTTCTTTACCTCCAGTGTTCTTCATTTTGGTTACCCCAACCCAGTTTCTCAGTCCAAAAGCGTAAGAGTCATAGTTGATTCTATTCTTTTTGTTAGTGCAAATATCCGATCCATCAACAGGTTCTATCAGCCCTACCTTCAGAAAACACCCTGAATCTAACCATTGTTTATGACCTTCTTTGCTGTCACCTTTGCCCAAGCCACCATCATCTCTCTAAACTACTCTGACACCCTCTCGTTTGATCTCTCTGCCTCATCTCTTGTCATTCCCGCCAGCCTCCCCTCCACCACCACAGTCCACACTCTCCACATAGCAACCAGAGTGATCGTTTCAAAATGTAAAATGAGATCATGTTATCCCCGTGCTTACATCCTCCAATGTCTTCCCATCACTCTTGAAATAAAAGTTAAACTTTTATCCAGGACCTACATAATGTTATATTTTTTGGCTCCTGCCTTTCTCTTTGGCCTCATCTTTTGTTACTCTCTCCTTTGTTCACTTAGGCCCAACCATACTGGCCCTCGTTCAGTTTGATAGGTTAAACTTTGCTTTACATTCTGCAGAAAGGATCAGGCACCTCCTACAACAAAGTACATTGCTGTATTTCTGACAGGTTTATATATAAAGTATGAAATGGCAAAATAAATAAGGAAGAGGCTTTTTACAGGTGGCAATTTACATTTTCAAATCATCCCAAAATTCGGTTGGAAAGGAACCCTGCATTCTTTTCTTTGGTCTGTTCTTTTCTTGGTTACTCCTACCAGATCTTTGAGGTGCATAGCCAAGGAGCATGAGATCATCTTCAGAAAACACTCACTTGTTTTTTTTTTTTTTTTTTTTTTGTAATCCACCCCTTTGGCCATCTTTCAGCAAAGAGAATGAGAATTTTACGGCAGTATCATTCCAGGCAGTGGATAATGAACAAAGTTAAACTGTAGCTTGGGTATATATATCATTTATTAAAAAAGGAAGTCCCTGAATTTTATATTTTAAAGGGATCTTACATCTCATCTAGTCCAGCTTTCTCAGTTTGTAGATGGAGAAATAGAGGCATAGTCTTTCCCCCTTTGAAATATAGGTTCTGTTCCAATGACTCCAGCATAAATTGGTTCTGAAGTAAGTTGAATACTTCTTTTTTTTTTTTAGTTTTCATTATTATTGCCTTTTATTATCAGTGTCTTTATAAATCCGATCTTTATTTGTCTTTGGGGGTTGGAAACATTACATATAAACTTACAGCTTCAACATCAGCGCTTCCTGCTTTTCCAGTTATATGCATGTTATATAAGCCAAACCACCCCACCCCCACCCCTCCTGACGGTTCTGATCACTGGTTTGTGGTAACTCAAATATGCCGTAAATTGGGGACTGCCTATATCTACCTGTATTCACATACTCTCCCATTTTACAGACTAGAAAAGCAAGAGCTCAGAGAAGCTATTTGCCTGAGGTCAAATAGCTGGTGAGAAGTTTAACTGAGACTAGAACTCAGATCTGGCATAAAATTTCATATCATTTTTCTGATGCTATGCTCACTCTCAGGAAAGAGTTGTTGGTGGTCGGAAAAACAAATTCACATTATTTGTTTCTACGTACATGGACTGTAAAGTTTATGGTCTTTATTTTTATTATAAAAATCACTCATTAGCTTGAAGTTTCCTCATGAATGTTTTGAGATTGCTTGAGTTCTTGAAATATTTTACAATACGTATGTGATATATTTTACAATGTATTAATTTTGTAATCAGGAAAAAAATCAAGATAATAAAAAATAAAAGTGATACGTACATACTAAAGACAATTTGAAAATTCAAGGGGGGAAAACACTCAAAAGACCACTGTTATTAGCTTTTTGTTAGCTTTTTGGTGTATTTATGTCCAGTCTATCTTCTTAATGCATCAATCTTCTTTCTCTATAGCTTTGTGCATGTGCATGCTATTTTTAAAGCAGTGTAAAAGTGATGCATTTTAAGAACTGATGAGTTTTATGCGATTAATTTGCGTATTATATTTGCATTCGTTTTTTATGGTGGTCGAGATATATATAACAAAATATTTGCCATTTTCAAGATGTACAATTTAGTGACTTTAATTATGTTTACAAGTTGTACAACTATCATCACTTCATTTTTATTTTTGAGATAATATATTTACCAAGTGGGTTACTTTTTTCTCATTGACTTCTCATTGTAGGGCATGGTGAAAATAAATAGGAGTAAGAAATTCTTCTGGAAAAAATTTCAAAACATTCTAATATAAATGGCTGAAGAGAGTGAACTATATTGTGATGAGCATAAAGGCTTGGGATCTTATCCAAAATAGTGATAATAATAATAATAATAAGCATGTGGGCCTAGTAGCATTATATGTGCTGTTTTGAAGGTGCAAAGTATTAAAAGTATGTGTATATTACCATTTTTTAATAACTGTAGCAGTATGGCCTTTTCTTGCTGCATTAGTCACAGGCAAAGGGCATGTTATTGGAATGCATCCTGCACCAAACATCTATAATCTGTTATGGAACTGTTAGCTTTTTTGAGGTATTTTTATATTAAAGTTTAGCACTTATCAGAATTCTTAGAAAATATTTCCATTGAACGTGTTTAGTAGGGGGAGAGTGGGTAGATTGCTTTTACACATAATATGGTGTTGACTTTTTCAGTCTGTAGAGCACTTTGGCATTTAAGATTATTTTATTATTACTACCAAAATCTACAATATCCTAGTCTGTAATTTCCAGTTATTTTTAATATCTCAAAGATACATAGTTAAAGAGGGACCAGGATATAAGAAGGTCTGGATAGAAACCAGTTCCCAAGTGTTTATGACTCTATGAGTATATACTACGGGCCTTGAAAAATTATATGAATAAAAATGATAATATTTACTTGAAAATTTGATTTAATTCAAAGTTAAATATTCACATAATAAAGTTTTGATGGTGTCTTTCCTGTTAAGTTCATGAAGTTTGGGGGGAATTCTACTGTAATCAGTTAAGAATTGAGATTTGACATGTATGTTAGTAACATTTCATTCCTTTTGGTTTTTCAATCTGGCTCCAGTTGTCAGACCATTTTATTTCTCAGCCTCATTTTCTCTTCTCTTTTTTGTAATGATTTCACTAGTAAGAAATAGAAATCAAATAACGAAACTGTTTATAGTTTTATCTTGAACTGTATTTAGCTTATCGTGGAAAATTTCATCATCTTCCTAGATTTCCATGTAGAGAGGTTACTCCCTTATTTCTATAATAGTAATTCTAGGTGTCGCTTTGAATCTCTGTGGCCCCTTAAAGAAGCAATGTAAATTACACTGCACTTTCTCATTTCCTGTTTTCAGATGTCATGCTGCTTCAGTACCTGTAGAATATCCTTACTAACTTACTAATAGAGTACCAAAGGAGTATTATAAAATACATAACTTTGCTTGTCTCCTTCCTTTTAATTTTCTTTATTAACTTGTTTTATTTTGATTTTGAATTTTTTAACGTAAAAGCAAATGGAGAATAATATAACAAATTCCACGTACCCACACCCAGAATTAATATTACAGTTTTGCACGTTGCTTCATATTTATACATATGTGTGTATAGTTATATATTTGAAATAGAACATTTCAAATAAAGATGGGATCTGCTTTGTTTTCCTCTCTAGTCCTGTTTTTCTCTCTCCCTCCACAGAGATAAGCAGAGCATAAAATTTGCCTATACTCTCTCAGAGTACATTTTAATTTTTACTACACATATATGTATGCATATGCTTAGTGTATTGTGTATCCATATACTTAGTATTGCTTAGTGTAGGTTTGCATAACTATTATCCTTTTGTATGTATCATTCTGCAATTTGGTTTTTCCAACCAGTGTTTTTAAGGTTTATACATGTTCATACGTATAGGTCTAGTTCAGTTATTTAACTAGACTATCCTATCACTTTTTCTGTCTGATCTTTTGTTGTAGGCATGGTTTTTGACAATTACTGTATGTTTTCAGAGTTAATCTTTAACTTTTTTACATATGTATATATTTTTTTTTAGGTGCTTGTTTAAACTGCCAGGGAAATAGCAAAGGGGATCACTGTGAAGAATGCAAAGAAGGATTTTATCAGAGTCCTGATGCTCCTAAAGAATGTCTTCGCTGCCCTTGTTCAGCAGTGACATCTACAGGCAGTTGCATCATAAGTAAGGCCTTTCTCTAAATCTTCATTTTAGGGGAAAAAATAGTGAATCAGTTATCAATAGGGATAAATGGCGTTGATAAATAAAGTTATGGATGCTGTAAGTGAAAGGGAGTTATAAAAACAGCAAAGATTTGCCTTACAATCTAATCCAAATAAATATGTTAAATGAGACTTAAAATTTCTAAAAAGCAACATAATGAGTTAATACAAGAACTTCAAGACGAGGAAAATGGGAAGCTTCTGATCCAGACATTAATTACTTACCTATTTAATGGTTACATTCACTAATTCATTCTTCCTGGGTACTAAATAATGTTGATAAATTGTGTCTATAAAGTAATTTTACAAATATTGTTAACTCTCATTTATTGCTTGTGTTTTAGTTATCTATTACTGCATGACTAATTATGCCAAAGTTTAGTGGCTTAAAACAATAAACATTTTTTCTCACCCATCATTTCTGTTAGGAATTTGGGAGCAGCTTAGCCGGATAGTTCTGGTTTGGGGTTCCTTCTTTCCTCCCTTCCTCCCTCCCTCCCTGCTTTTCTTCCTTTTCATAATAGCTTTATTGAGATATAGTTCACATACCACATAATTCACCTATTTAAAGTGTACAAGTCAGTGGTTTTCAGTATATTCACAATGTTGTATAACTATCATCACAATCAGTTTTAGAGCATTTCCATAACCCTCACCCCAAAAAAACCCTGTACCCATTAGCAGTCACTCCCTTTTTTCCCACACCACCTACTCCCCAGCCCTAGGCAACCACTAACCTACTTTTTGTCTGTATGGATTTACCTACTCTGAACATTTCATAAAAATGTAATGATACAATATGTGGCCTTTTGTGACTGACTTCTTCATTTATCATAGTATTTTCAAAATCCATTCATGTTATAATGTATATCAATACTTCTTTCCTTTTTATTGCTGAATAATATTTCATTGTATGGCTATACCACATTTTATTTATACAGTCATCGGTGATGGACATTTGTGTTGTTTCCACTTTTTGGCTCTTATGGATAATGCTACTGTGAACATTCATGTACAACTTTTTGTGTGTACATATATTTTAATTTCTCTTGGGTGTATACCTAAGAGTAGAATTACTGAGTCATATGGTAACTCTATATTTAACCTTTTTAGGAACTGCCAGATTTTTTCCAAAGTGGCTGTACCATTTTAAAATCCTACCAGCATTGTTCCAAGTTCTCCACATCCTCACCAACCCTTGTTATTATATCTTTTATATTATAGCTGTCTTAGTGGGAGTGAAATGGTATCACATTGCTATTTTAGTTTGCATGTCCTTGATGGCTAATCATGTGCTTATTGGCCTTTTATATATCTTCTTAGAGAAATGTCTATTTAGATCCTTTGCCCATTTTTATATTGGGTTATTTCTCTTTTTATCATTGAGTTGAAGGAGTTTTATATATATATATATATATTCTAGATAGAAGTTTCTTATCATATATTGATTTGAAAATATTTTTTATCATTCTGTAGATTGTTTTTTGAATTTCTTGATGGTATCCTTTGTAGCACAAACATTTTCAATTTTGACAAAGTTATATTTATCTATTCTTTTGTTGCTTGTGTTGGCTTGGGGTTTCTTATGAGGTTGCAATCAAGATGTCAGGCAGAACACCAAAGATACAAGGAAAATATTAGCCCAAGAGGCAGAAAGGGCCACATAAACCCCAGGCTATCAGCCTAAGAGCAGAAGAATTAGATGGTGCCCAGCTACCACCAATGACTGCCCTGACAGGGAACACAACAGAGAGCCCCTGATGGAGCAGGAGAAAAGTGGGGTGCAGAACTCAAATTCTAGTAAAAAGACCAGACTTAATGGTTTGACTGAGACTGGAAGAACCCCAGAAGACATGGCCCCCGGACTCTCTGTTAGCCCGCAACTGAAACCATTCCCGAAGCCAACTTTTCAGACAAAGATTAGACTGGACTATGGGGCATAAAATGATACTCGTGAAGAGAGTGCATCTTAGCTCAAGTAGATACATGAAACTAAATGAGCAGTTCCTGTCCAGAGGTGAGATGAGAAGGCAAGAAGGGATAGGAGCTGGCTGAATGGACACGGGAAATTTGGGGTGGAAAGGAGGAGTGTGCTGTCACAGTACAGGGAGAGCAGCTACGGTCACATAGCAATGTGTGTATAAATTTTTGTATGAGAAACTAACTTGAACTGTAAACTTTCACTTAAAGCACAATAAAAATAAATTAAAAAAAAAGAGGTCAGGCAGGGCTGCAGTTATCTGAAGGCTTGACTGGGAATGGAGAATCCACTTCCAAGAAGGCCTGATCCCTCAACATGTGTACCTCTCCGTAGGGCTATTTGAGTGTCCTACAACATGACAACTAGCCTTCCCTAGATTAAGTGATCCAACAAAGATCAAGATGAAAGCTGCAGTGTATTTCATTACCTAGCCTCTGAAATCATAGAATATCATTATCTCAATGTCCTTTTGATTACCTGTGTCCACCCTAGTCAGTGTAGGAGGAGACTACACAAGGGTGTGAATACCAGGAGATGGGGATTATTAAGGGTTATCTTGAAAGTTGGTTACCACACCTGGTAATGGGAACTGAAGTACTCCTCTTTTAATAGGAAGGTCTGATAGATTCATTCATTTATTCCACAAATGGTTATTGAGCACCTAGTGTGTGCTTGCCATTGTGCTAGGCAGGAGATGCAAAGATATAAAGAATGAAAAATGACCCTTGTTCTAAAGGAGTTTACAGTCTAGTAGGGAGAGAAAAACACATAAATTAAGCATTAAAGATAGCAAATGTATGTGTAGGATATGGTGGGGCAAAAAAGAAGGGTGTTCCATGCTACATGGGAATGAATGTCATGCGATCTCTGTCGTCATTTCTATCACCAAGGCCGTATTTTCTAACTACTGATCCTTCTTCTTTGTTTTCAACTTTTGCGTTCCAATCATCAGTAATTATCAATTACTGATCAATTTTAGACTGCAGAAGTTGGTAGAAATCTTCAATTTCTTCATCTTTGACTTTAGTGACTGGTGTGTAAATTTGAATAATAGTGGTATTAACTGGTCTTCCTTGTAGGCGTATGGATATTATCCTGTCACCGACAGCATTGTACTTCAGAATAGATCTTGAAATGTTCTTTTTGACAGTGAATGTAACACCGTTCCTTTTCAAGTTGTCATTCCCGGTATAGTAGACCGTATGATTGTCCAATTTCATAATGGCCAGTACCAGTCCATTTCAGCTCACTAATGCCTAGACTATCGATCTTCAAGTGTTTGATTTCATTTTTGACAATTTCCAATTTTCCTTGATTCATACTCCGTACATTCCACGTTCTAGTTACTAATGGATGTTTGCTACTATTTCTTCTCATTTTGAGTCATGCTACATCAGCAATTGAAGGCCCCGAAAGCTTTACTCCATCCACATCATTAAGGTTGACTCTACCTTGAGGAAGCAGCTCTTCCCCAGTTGTATTTTGAGTGCCTTGCAACCTGAGGGCCTTATCTTCTGGCACTATATCAGATAATGTTATGCTGCTATTTGTAAGGTTTTCACTGGCCAATTTTTTTCAGAAGTAGATCACCAGATCCTTCTTCCTAGTCTGTCTTAGTCTAGAAGTTCCACTGAAACCTGTCCACCATGGTGACCCTGCTGGTATTTGAAATACTGGTGGCATAGCCTCTGGCATCACAGCAACATGAAAGCCACCACAGTACAACAAACTGACAGATGAGTGGTGGTATACAATATTCTTGGTGGTATACTTTTTTTTTTTAGTACAAAAGTAGAATATAATCAATCTACTATACCCATCACCCACTGTCATTAATTAACCATACCTGGCCAACGATGTTTCATCTCTACTTTCATACAGTGTTCCCCAACCTGTCCCAAGAATAACTCCCTACCCTCCCCACCCTCAGATTATCTATTTTCAAGGTGATTACTTTTTTTTCTTTTTACTGAAGGTTTTGGGCATTGTGTTAGTCATCTAGTGCTGCTATAACAGAAATACCACAAGTGGATGGCTTTTAACAAAGAGAAATTTATTCTCTCATAATCCAGTAGGCTACAAGTCCAAATTCAGGGCATCAGCTCCAGGAGAAGACTTTCTCTCTGTCAGCTCTGGAGGAAAGTCCTTGTGATGCATCAGCCTTCCCTTGGTCTAGGAGCATCTCAGCGCAAGAACCTCAGGACCAAAGGACACGCTCTGCTTCCAGCACTGCTTTCTTGGTGGTGTGAGGTTCCCATGTGTCTCTGCTCACTTCTATCTTTTATATCTCAAAAGAGATTGGCTTAAGACACTATCCAATCTTGTAGATGTCATCAGTATAACCTCATCATAGTGATAGAGTTTACAACACATAAGGAAATTACATCAGATTACACAGTCATATAATACTGGGAATCATGACCCAGCCAAGCTGACAGACTTTTTAGGGGGACACAGTTCCATCCATGAGAGACATCAAAGTTTTTTAGTACAGATTTTGGAAAATGTAGATGTCATTCTGAGGCTTTTAAGAATGGTCCCAGGTAAACAAAATTATGGATCAGAAAAACTTTTGGAAAAAATCACTTGTGTAGAAGATTGGAGCTGGTATGAGCATTTAGTCCAATGGTTTTATATTGTATTCCTGAGAACCCTAGGTTTACTCTGAGTTGCCTCATGGTTTCATCTTAGTTAGAGTGAGTGGTGAGAGGAATAGAAGGAGGTTCCAGATTTCTATCTCTTCCTTCAACCATAACAGCACTTATCTTTTTTACATATTGGATAATGAGCAAAATTTTATTTGGAGTGGGAAGGAATGTTCTTTACTTAAAAAAAAAAAAAATTGAAAACCACTGAGTTCAGTCTCTTTATGATCATGGTCATACAGCTATTTAATAATAGAACTGGGACTAGAATTAATTTTTCCTGATTCCTAGTCCCGGTACACCTTCTACTTAACATATATGAAAGGTTATTCAAAT